GAGAGATCATGGCAGATCCCAACACATTGACAGAAAATTATCACTTCATAAGATACAAGATAGAAGAAGGACTCCTCGTGGAAAAGAGGGTATTGTCAGATGAGAACCCTGCAGACCCCCTTACGAAGGGACTGACGAGGGTTAAGCATTTGCAGCATGCGAGGCACATCGGGCTGAGGGACGATATTAGTTTTACAGATTAGATAGCTTTTCTAAAACTTGTAAAATGTAATCGACGTTTGATGATGAACAAAATTTGTGATTTATTTATAAGTAAAGTGTTGCTATCATTGTCAATTATTTACTATTGTTTCAGTTTTGCATGTTTTGACTTCCAGAATAATTAATTTATTCATACCTCCACAATCGGTCATACGTCGGAAGTAGGTATGAATCAAGATTGTCATGAATTGGGTTTGTAGATGGCTAAAGGTGTTTAGACATAGAAATGGTTGCTACAACGTTCATGAGTGCTCATAAGTTATGAGCATTGGAATAAACCCACACTCACTTGTATCACTTCATGGAATTTATCTCGAGTGATCGTGAGACGATAATATCATATAAGTCTTCAAACCTAGAGATATGAGTTGTTACCTATGAATTTGTTGTGCATTGATTGCACATAAACACATCAGTAACTTGATGTCGTAAAACGTGCCTTTGTGTACCATTCAATGAGTAGTAGAACAAGCATATGAGTCGAAGTTTATCTGTTCCTTCTAGAAATAGAAGCGATATCTGGGCCCCTCGATGAGTTTGTGTTGACCCATGTACCGGCCCGGTCAGAACTAAATTGATGTGTTCAGTTAAGTTCTTTGTCAAACAAATCGGAAATCGAGAAAAAACTGCCAGACAATAAGTAAGACATTGTTCCATGTATTTTGTCCGGCTGATATCATGAGAACAGACTATATGATCACTTGTCTAAAATGGCGCTTCATAGTTCAATAGAGTTTTCGAGAGCTATGATTGTCGGTTGGTTCCTGAAATAATATAGGCAAATACAGTTATTAGACTTATCCAAGTGGGAGTCTGTTGGATAAGGTGTCTAATTCCATAACTTGTTTGGTATATACTTGACCCGACCCGACATGGTCCATTTGGGTTGCACTTCACCCAAAGTATTTATGGATAATTTTATGAGAATTGTATAATACGATTTATTAATATATTATAAGTTATAATATATTAATATAAAGTCATGATATTTAATTAGTTTTAATCTTAAATTAATTATGAATTAATTTAGTGATTAAAAGGAAGACTAATTAAATTATGGGCTATTGCATTTATATGATGTGGACTAATACTCATTTGTTAATGGGCTAAGCTTATATGGAAGTCCATTAATGATCCATGGAGCTTTAACCCATGGATCCTTGGAAGAGGAAAAGACATGGGTTATTAGGGTTTCACCCTAACCATGCACACTATATAAACAAGCTTATGTTGCATGAATAACCACCCTAGAGTGTGTGTAATAGTGGTGGCCGAATTCTAAGAGTTAGTATACTCTCTCATATATTTTCCAAGCTTGTGGTGATTTGTGATTTCCACTTGAGGCATTCACATTATTGGTGATTGGCACTCAAACTCCAAGGAATCAACAATCAACAAAAGGTATGTAATTCATCTAGTTCTTTTATGTTTAAAAGTACCCCATGCCATGCTAGATAGGTTATAAACCTTGGAAAATAATATTTTGCATGTACCTTAGACAAACATAGATCCAAGGTTTATTAGGGTTGCATGTACACTTAGGAAGTGTTAGAATGCTCAAAACCCAACACTTGTAACGGCCCAATTTTTCAAAGAAAATTTTCATTTTGAGTAGTCAAATACATTTCCACAATTTAAGAAACTCAATCATAAATATTTTCAAAACACATGTTAAATATAAATTTTATTCCAAACATCAGAGTGTCTATAAAAACGCCTGGGAGAGAGTGCAAACCATGCCATCACCCCTTGCCTTTGCCCTTGGGATCTAAAGTACCTGAAACAAATCCACAACCTATAAGTTAAATGCTTAGTGACTTTCCCAGAGCATACCACACACACAATACACATATCCCATATCATATTAGCTATAAAAGCTACCTATAGCATATAAGCCATGCATACATAAAACCTGTAAGGATGCTATGGGCTCCCCCCAAGTTCTTACACCTTCGTGCCATGGGCTAGCCCACATGATATTTACCTAGGAATGCCATAGGCTACCCCACATGGAATTACATCCAACGTGTCACGGGCTACCCCACATGGTCTTTACGTGGGAATGCCATGGGCTACCCTACATGGTCTTACATCCAATTGCCACGGGTTCCCCCCGGGGTCGCTCATGCAATAACACACAATCACACATCATACAAAATCACAGAAATTACTAAAACATATACCATAATCACATAATGGCCCGGCCTTGGTGCCTTAGACCCATAGGTATGGTGAGAAGACTCACCTTTGTCCGAAGAATCTGAAACCGCTCTCCTAACTGTCTGTTACATCCCACGCTGAATGATAGTATTAACCCATGTTAGGACATCACATAATCAAAGGGAAACCCAAACTCCAAGTCCTTCCATGAAGGCTCTAATATCCTTTCTTTGTTAATGGGCCCAAAGTCCATGTCCAAAAATCATTAATGGTCCTCTTGGCCCAATAAGGCCCTACCATAACCTCAATGGCCTAAAACAAATAAAATGGCCCACTATGACAAAAATGCAACAAGATCAATTAACCAAATGAGGCCCAATAGCTCAAAGGCCTAAACTGATCCAAGCCCATCTGTGGTGCAAATGATTAATGTACCACCTTGGTACGCGCAATGTATTGAGTCTCTGGAACTTAGACGCTGTGTGCGCTAGGTTACGCCAAACGTACTAAAAGATTAAGCACTTTCTCCATTAAGTGTTTAATACTCGATTCCCTTACGTCCAAAAGTCATATCTAAGCTTATTAAGACGGCCTAGGGCATAAAGTTGGCAACTTTATGCCTTTGCATTCCTCATATGCTCCCAAAACCCCTATTATGACCTTTATAAGGTTCTTAACCAATGCATGAGGTCAAAACACCCACAAAGACTCCATTTTTATGTTGCAAACTAACCAAGGGACCTCCGATAAGACATTTCCATCCTCTGGAGTTGCTCAACTCACAAGAGAAGGTCCAAAATCAACAAAGGAATCAAACTATAAAACCCTAGGTAGATCTAGTGATTAAGGTGGAAAGGTCCAAGCTTTATACCACCAAAAGCTTCTCAAGGTTGACTATATGCACATTCATAAAGGCAAATGACACTCCAAGCTTCCTTGACGACTTCTCCTTCCTGAATGAACACTAAAAGGAGCAAAAATTTACTCTTAAAGCTCAAAATGCACTCACAAATGGTATTAGGGTTTTCAGAGACGTTTGAAAGTGTAGGATGCTATTTGGGATGAGGCTCAAATGAGTTAGTGGTGTATATATAGGTTTGGGCATCCGGCACGTACGCCTAGCGTACGTGCTGCCCCTCCGCGATCCTTTTTGCCTAGTACACTAAGCGTACTCATAAGTACGCCCAGCGTACTTAAGGGCTTCTTATGACTTATGTGTTATATATATATATATATATATATATATATATATATATATATATATATATATATATATATATATATATATATATATATATATATATATATAAACCCTTTCTAATAAATATATAACATATATATTACCTTACATATTAAATGTTGAATTTTAATTTAATAAAATGAAAAATACAAATAAACGACAAGAGGAAAATAGAAAATCAAAAAGTCTAGAAAATAACATGTGTCCAAATGAAAGAGAAGATGACATGTGGCAAAAAAATGATTTATTAGACCGAACAGAGTGGTGAGTGAGGATGTCGCGGGAAACGATCCCGCACGAAGAAACACCGCACCGGGCGTGCGGGAAAGGAAACGTGGGGAAAAGGTGGGGGGATGGAGTCTCGCACTCTCTCTCTTCACATGATTGACTGTTTATTTTTTATTTTTTTCTTTTTTTGATTCCAAACGGCTATATATATATATATATATATATATATATATATATATATATATATATATATATATATATATATATATATATATATATATTCTTTCCCTTTTCTTAACCCATAAATACTACAACATTCTATCTTTTTTATAACCTATAATCTATATTTCTCTTCAAAAAATATTATTCAAAATGTCATTATCTTCATCATCTGATTCGATGGTTGTAGAGGATGCTAATTTTATCGGTTCTGTCATGACGAAAACGGTTGCATACTATCAAAATCAACTAGCCGAAACATCACGTGCACGATCTAACCCAAGAAAGTCGTCGTTGCGTAGAAATCACGAAGCCGGACACGATCGTCTTATAGAAGATTATTTTGCAAATGACGCCATCTACGCTGTAAAGTTTCGACGTCGGTTCCAGATGAGGAAGGAACTATTCTTACGTATTGTTTGCGATTTGGAAGGCCGTTTTCCATATTTCCAATGGAAAATGGATGCAAGGCGGAAAAAATGTTTCTCTCCCATTCAAAAATGCATGGCTGCAATTTGTCAGCTAGCATATGACATGGGCGCAGACAAATGGGACGAGTATTTTAGGATGTCAGAGCGTACCGTGCGGGAGTGTGTGTACAAGTTCTGAAAAGCGATATGTTTGGTTTATGGGCAATAATATTTGTGCAAACCAACCATCAACGTTATCCACCAATTGTATATGGTGCATGAAGGCAAGCATGGATTCTCTGGAATGCTAGGTAGTATCGATTGCATGGATTGGAGTTGGTCATTATGCACCAACGCATGACGTGGTCTATACACGAGAGGCAACCACAAAGAGACGACGATCATTCTAGAGGCTATCGCATCACATGATCTTTGGATATGGCATGCATTCTTACTGACGGTATATATATCCTCCATTGTCTGTTTTTGTGAAATCGTTTACATGTCCTAACGACCAGAAAATGAAAAAGTTTAAAGAGACGCAAGAGTCGGCTAGGAAGGATGTGGAGCGAACATTTGGTGTACTTAAGAGACGTTGGCAAGTACTAACAGCCGGGGCAATGTCATATGAGGTGAAAATGTTACAACATGTAATGTATGCATGTATCATATTGCATAATATGATTCTTGAAGATGAAGGAAGAGCAATATGCCAGTACAACGAAAATGAAGTTTTGCCAAATGTCGAGAGAGTAGTCATTGGTACACAAGAGTATAGGGTGAATAGAAGAGAAGTACACAATCATGACATTCATCACGCCCTTCATGCTGATTTGGTGGAGCACATTTTTGGGGCTCATATTCAGCCCCCGTTAGAGTTTTCTCACGATGATTTGTTTGACGAATCAGACGAGGATTCTGATATGTTCGTCGATAGTGAAGATTCCAACGACGAGAGTGATGCTGGGGAGAATGATGAAGACGATCAAGGCGATGACGAAGACGATGATTCCGAGTGGCGTATTTTGGTTTAAATAAAATTATGATATTAATTATGTTTTCTATGTTGTGGGTTTTTTTTTTTCTATTTTTCTACTTATTTAAATATTAGGTTTAATGTAATTTTTATTTTAATTAATGAAATGCTTTTTATTTTTTATTAAATTTTATGTTTAGTATTAATTTAAATATTATAAATCATAAAAAAAAAATTTAATAAAAAAAAGTGAAGGAATGACTTTCCACTCATTGCTTGGGTTTTAGATGAGTGAAAGAGAAGTGAAAGAAAGGGGTATATGGGCGTATGGCCCACAAAAAATGAAGGAAGTTTCTCCCATACTCTCCGGTCTTAGAGAATATAAATTATAGTAATAGTAAAATACTCTAACGCAAAAATTTATGAAGAGGATGTTAAACGGCACAATATTGAAAAACAAGAACAATTTGGTTTAGGTGAATTGGACATAAAGGATAGTGTTAGATTTCACCAAATCTTAAAAGAGGATTCGACACTTTTAATTAGCTTATACTTATTCAAGTTCAATTTCTCTTTATCTTGATTTTTTTTTTCTTTTTTTTTTTGTTGTTGTTGTTGTCTACATCCACATATATTTGAATCCAATCTCAAACTTTTTTACATCTTTATTTGGATAATTATAAAGTCGATATTTCACTTTTAAGTGCCATATTATAAGATACAATTTTCAAACATGTCAATTCAAAAGTGGTACATGCTTTGCTAGTCATGGAGGCTTCACTATCACTTTCATAAATCCCCACTTAACAAAGCCCCAATCTAAATGGGGAAAAGAGTTTTTCTCTACTTTTTTTTCATCCTTACTTATTTTTGTTACATTATAAATATATAGAAAAACTAAACTTTGTTTGTGAGTAATAACTACAGTAGCTAAAAGTATATGATTTTATGCATGATGTATAAGTGTTTAATGCAGGAAGTCAAAATTAAATCCCCCAACTTTCTATAATCCTTCACTTATAACCTCTACTTTTTATAACATATCACTTGCAACTTCTTTAATTTGTAAGATAATATTATTTATTTATTTACTTTTAAAAATATCATTTTCACTCTCTTTACCTTCAACTTTGTAATATATCACTTTCACTATTTTATTTTCTAAACTTTTGTGTTTATCTTGATCCCTGTAAAATTTATTGTAACTGATAGTACAAGTGGTAACCTCTTTAATTTGTAAAATAATATTTTTTTTCTCTTTACTTTGTAAATTATCACTTCAACCCCCTTCACCTTCAACTTTATAAATTATCACTTTTATCCCTTTATTTTTTAAATTATTGTATTTATCTCCGTTCTCGTTCATTGTAATTATTAATACAAGTGGTAACCCTTCTATTTTTAAAATATAAATTTTACCCTCTCTACCTTCAACTTTGTAAATTGTCACTTTCACCTCTTATTTTCTAAGTTTTTGTGTTTATCTCGGTTCCGAAAAAAACCAATAGTACAAGTGGTAATGCACAATATACAAGCATATCAATGCTTAAAGTATAGTTTTAATCCCTCAACTTTGTATATTCTGTCATTTTAAACCCTCATATTTAGTAAAATGATTTTTTTCATACTTTTATTTTTTTTAAATATCACTTTCACCCATTTGTTTTCTAAACTTTCATGTTTATCACGTAGTATATATAAATATGATTTTTCCTCCTATTCTCTATAAAATGCATTTTCTACTCCTCTATCTTTTAAAAATTTACTTTACTCTCTCAATAGAAAAAACACTACAGCTGATAGTATTTTATATAATTCATTACTTGCAACCTCTTTATTTTGTAAGATAATATTTCTATCAATTTACTTTTTAAAGTATCACGGTCACCCCCTCCACCTCCAACTTTGTAAAATATCATTTTTACCTTTTCATTTTTTCTCCTCAACTTTGTATTATTCGTCACTTGGAACCCTTCTATTTTATAAAATGATATATATTCCATCTTTTTACTTTTTAAAATATCACTTTCACCCCCTCTATCTTCAACTTTTGAAAATTTTCACTTTAACTCATTCGTTTTCTAAACTTTCGTGGTTATTTAGTTTCCCCATAGCATATATAATTTGATTTTCTCTCATTTACTTTCGTAATTCGTAAAAAAAACACTTAAAAACCCGCGACGAAATGTGGGCTTAGTTACTAGTTTTGTATAAAGTGTACTCAATTTTTCCATAGATCTATTCGTACATTGAAACAAAAAAGGATAACGTTAGGATCTCCCTCTAAAATGATGGTAAAAAAAATGTGTTGATTAGCAATGATCCATCAAATTTCAAATATAATTTATATTACAGAATACACCAAGTTTAGTTTTATACATAAACTGTTGAATATTTATTCAAGACAGGCTCAAGAGAAAATAAATATCCCCCTACCTCTTTATTGCGATTTATCTTCTTATCGGATGAAATTGTGACATATGCTATATTTAGATAAGATTAATAATTTCTTAATTATTTCTTTGATTCTAATAGCAATTTCGAAATAAACAAACTGAATCTGATAGATAAAAACTAAATTTCAAATAAATTTATACTATAATCAGATTGCAATTTATAATAGTATGTTAATTAATTTACAAATATATACAAAAGCAAAAGTTAAAACTTTTCACTGTGTAGCTAGTAGGCATCAACAAGTGATGTCCAAACTAGTTGGGTTAATTCACCGTGTTTTATATCCATGCGGGATATAAAATTTGGAATTCGATTCCCATAAATTACCTCTTATAGTGCCACATGTGGGGAATTTTTCACTGGAAATTCCTATGGGGACTGCGTTTGCCCTTTAAAGGAGCTCGAACTCAAAGGTTCTCGTTGTAATATTACGAGTAGGCTTCCAATTAATTCGTTTGCCGTTTCAAAAAAAAAAAACAAAAAAAAAACAAAAGGCATCAATTCATCCATGTACACAAAAACGCCTACGTACAAAATATTTTTACATGTTAATTAGATTAATATTTTTCACTATAGGCATCAATTCATACAAAAGCTTGTTAATTTCCCATTATATTAACATTTTTCACTATAGTCATAATTGCATACAAAAGCTTTGGCCTAAAATAGACAACGAAAGTAAAAAGAATTAGGCCTAAATCTATATATATATATATATATATATATATATTATATATATATATATATATATATATATATATATATATATATAATTTGGCCTAAAGTAGACAATGAAAGTAAAAACAATTAGGCATATATATATATATGTGTGTGTGTGTTCAGGTTCATTTGAAACCATTCTAATTTTGTGAGATCATGAGACCAAATCTAAAAATAATTTTAAAATGCAAAATAAATGGAAAAATCAAAAAATTCTTTTTTTAAATATTATTTTCGTAACTTGAATTAACTAAAAAAAATTAAAAAAAGTCCCGTTCTTTTTTAAAAAATACGTGAAATAATCTAAATAGAATATTACACTGATATATTCTAAAAAATAATTTTAAAATGCAAAACAAATGGAAAAATCTAAAAATTCTTTTTTTAAATATTATTTTCAGAACTTGAATTAACTAAAAAAAATCCTTTTTTTTTTTAAAAAATACGTGAAATATTCTAAATAGAATATTACACTGTACATATTCTAAAAATAATTTTAAAATGCAAAATAAATGGAAAAATCAATAAATTCTTTTTTTAAATATTATTTTCGAAACTTGAATTAACTAAAAAAAATTTTAAAAATAAAAAAATATAAAAAATAAAAAAATGAATCTCACGGTCTCACAAAATTAGGCCGTCTCACATAAACCTAACCCTATATATATATATATATATATATATATATATATATATATATATATATAAAGTAGACTTTATCTACAATATCCTTTATGGCAAACTTTCAAATTAGGCTTGTATTGAATTGATAATGATATCTAAATAAATAATATATTATTGATATAAATATTATTTTTATTTTAGACTAAATGCATTGTTTGAATATGAATGATCGACTCTTTTGCTCTTTTACTTAAAATTAACATGAGATAAAATGATAACCATTATAAGTTAGATAACCGTATGGTCACATTAAATATTTTTAAATCTTAAATAAATTGGAAAAATAACATGATAAGTACTAAAATAAATTCAATTGTATATTTCTTTTAATTGTTTTAATCATAATTATAACCAAACAGCTCACTAATTGAAAGTTCTGATAGAGTGATAGATTAGAACCTTATAATTAATTTATTTGTATATAGAATATAAAATCATATGTTAATTTCTACTAATAATAGAACTTTAAAGCATGAAATTATTAGCAACATAATTAAACTTGTTGTCTTTTGATCTTTTTTTCCCAAATTTATTTCTTTTACAGTTTTTCCATAATATTATTATCTATATACATAAAAACGAGTACCAGCACAAATATGTGTATGAGAGAGAGATATTCCTATTTTGATGGTAGAAAGTGATTGCTTTAAGGATATTTTTGGCAAAAATAAGATGTAATTGAATGACAAAACACTATTTTCATAAATCAACTAAGATAATTTATTACCAAATAGTTAATAGCCTAGCGGTATGGAGTGATCATCTGATAGGAGATGTCAGGGGCTCAAGTCTCGGTGGAGACATAGATGGTAATTTAGGAGAAGATTATTAAAATTAATTTGCGTTTAAAAAAAAAAATTATTAGCATTAATCAAAAAAGAAACGGTCATATATACCTGAACTTCATAAGTTTTCTAAATATTAAGTTCATTGAGTTAAAAAGAAACAATACTAAGTCCGATTTCGAATATAATATTTGAAAATGTTAATATGCATTTTAAAATAGATCAATTTAATTCTAAGACGTTCTCATAAATTTTTATATCAAATATTACTTGGTGTTATTTTATTTTTTACTTCACCCTGGGGTGAACATATATTTGACGATAATAGAGTTTGCACACCCTTCTAAAATAATTTATAAAAGATCAATTATATTTTAACAAGTATTTTATATAATAAAAGAATACAACTAAT